TATTTCTCGAAAACAGTCCCTGGGTGTCCGTCAACCTTATGTTCTACTTGAACCCAAAGTGGACTGTTTTCGAGAAATACACTCATTTGCAAATCAATTTGGTCTTCACGAGAGACTCAACTGAATCTCTCGTTTATGAGTTTCATAAGGTTGACGGAAACTCAGGGACTGCGCCTACCTGATGAACCCCAAAAAGGGCGAAACCGACTGTGGGCTGTCGAAGAGTTTTCAGCAACCTTGTGAGTAGTTTCCTTTATGGTAAGCAACATATTTGGAAGCCCAACAGGCACCAAGCATTGCCGACAAGGATAACTCCGAAGAGGCTTGACCCCGCAACACTAACCCCCGGCTTAACACAATAGACGGAGGTCTTTCGATGCTAACGATGCTAACGTAACGAGAAATTTAAACACCTCGAAAGTCCCCCTGAGTGGACCGAACAGTGCCAAAGCGTCAGAAGTGAAAAAAGGACAGTCCAGTTAGTCAGTCAAACTGGAAGAAAACATGTATATTTGGAATTCACTACTCATAAGGTTGCTGAAAGTTCGTTGGATAGCACTCAGAAATGCAAATGTTAAGTGAACTGAGGACAAGGTGGATTCTTCGAACAAAAAAAACGATACACACAAGTATAAACTTTGAGAAAAGGGTTCTATCACAGACTCAAAGCACAATAATTTTGAGAACAAGCAGTAATCATGTAGGCTGCGTCGAAACCATTTTGGCAGATAGGTGGTCATCATCGCTTTCCTCTCCCGTGAGCTCATCATCTGAACCACCAACGGCTTTCCAAAACTCCATAGTGACCTGTAAAGAAGGGAAAAAAGCCGGTAAATTGCAAGAGATCATTTTGTGAAACGGGGGGGGGGGGCGAGCCCAAGATTTGTCGACGATTAACCACGATTTCTCGTGTAACTTGACTAGAAGCCCACTCTAACCGGATGACAGAATGACGATATCATCCACAGGAAACTATGCAGGTAACCAGCGTCGTTGTCTGAATAAATAAAACCTAGGTCTATCAAGACATCATACTCTGTGTTCTTCAGCATGTATGCAAGACTTGATCTGTGAAACGTCGTGATACTTAGAAAACAAGACGAACTGATAGGGGTCTTAGCGCAGTACTTTGACAACGGTGTCCGTCGCTTGAAAAGCGATTCGAAATCGTTCAGCTGTAGAACCCTTCTGGTGTCCGGCTGCCATCCAACCCGAAGGAAGTACGAGGGCCGAGATACTGCCAGGGTGCCCAAGAGAGGAGGTGGAGAGATTGGGTTCGAACGACGGACTTTTCGGTCAGTAAATTCGCGCTCTCCCTCTTAGCAGCAAGCCGCTCTTAGTATCTAGCTCGAGATAGCTAGACGGTTAGGGCACGAACTTAGTGTCTGTATCGTCTGCGGTTCGAACTCAACCCTGACATCTCGACTGCTCCTGTATGGTAGTATCCCAGCCCTCGAGCTTCTTTCAGGTGATATGGCGGCTAGGCCCCGAAAAGGTACTACAGCTGAATGACTAGTTTCCAATGTGCTCCTCATCACAGTGAAGAGATCTCACCACGGTGAACACAATTCACCTAGTGACACTCGAATAGGCTTTATCGGAGCATTCGAGATAAGCAATAAGGGTAACCTTCCTGAACAGGCATTTTGTTCTTGGGAACGAACGACGCGTATGCCATCAAGACCTCAACAACATTTACTTTACCTAGAGCTGCTAACTACACGACTGCGCGTATATCCGCCTTTACAAAAAGTAGAAGAGCTGGGGGAACCACCGCAAAAGAAAACGAACGATCTGAGCTATAAACATGACGAACAAACAGAACAGAGAGTAGGTTTCACAGAATTACACATTTTCAAACCATCGTGATATGGTTTCCTCTCTGTATGATGGAATCCTTCAAACAGAAGCCACTTCACCTAGATTAAAATACCCCAATGGGAAATCGTATTAGTTCTGATTGTAGTGTGACAGATGAGGTGAATGCACGAATCTGCAAGGCTCGAGCCGCGTTTGCTAACTTGAGACACCTATGGCGTCAGAATGGTTTATCCCTGAATCTGAAGGGACGTGTGTATCAAGCTACAGTACGGGCTGTTTTGTTGTATGGCCGTGAGACTTGGCCTATTCGAGCAGCGGA